GGGCTGTTGCTCTCCGGGCCTTGGAAGGATCAGACTGGGCCCCAAGAATGCTGAAGGCCCACCGCTTCCTCTTCACAGCTAGGCTGAGGGCCACACCCTTCTCCTCCTCGAAGTCCTGGGAGACTTTTTGTTGCTCTTTTCCCTCAGTAACAGCCGCCATCCCTTTACCAAGGCCTGAGGGGCCACTTGACCTTTGGGGGAGGCTGGAGAGCCCATGGCTCTAGAGAAGGAGGTGGGATTCTGGGTCAGGCTGCAGGCAGTGAGAGCCCTTTCCTCCTGTTCTGCAGGGTAGGGAGTACAGGTTGGGGGTTGGAGTGGGGGGGGGGGCAACATGTTCTGAAGAAGCAGAGAGGTGGGCTCCCACCTGAGGCCCCAGACTATCTGATCCTTTTTGCTTCTACTCACTCTGGATCTCCAGGTGCCTCTCTTTCCTGCCTGTTGTGATTGTCTTTGTTCTTGTCTGCTCCTTGAAAGACACAAATCTCCTGCAAGGAGTGCTGATGAATCCAGGCTGGGGCAGCCTCCCTGACATCCCCAAACTAAGCATCACCCTTGAGGGGCAGGGGGAATCACCTCTGCTCAGTGGCCTCCTTGGTATAGAATTGGGCCTTGGGCCCATATGATGAGTGTGGAATCCAAATGACACCGAGGAGCTGGTTGGGCCTGAATTTGGAGTGGCCTGAGGCTCCTCAAATAGGGCCTGCAGCCTGGAGCCAAGTGCATGCTGAGCTGTAAGGGCAGCTAATAACCTGGCTAGAGCCTACCTCACTGGAAGAAACGGACTGGTTGCCATAGCAAAGTTGAATTGCCATTTTGCTTATGAATTGTTACATAAGCCTATCAAGAAATGCCAAGCTGTTTCCAGTTGACCAAGTTTTCCCCTGTCTGCCCTGAAATCTCCAGGAGAGAAAAGAAAAGCCCTCAGCATTCTCTATAGCTGGTTTTATATAAATCGTCACACGCAACATGCTTTCAGGCAGCCGCTGTGGCTGCATGATCCTCTGCAGGCACAGGACCAGAGCGCAGGCTCCAAATGAAAAGGAAAGGAGGGCTGTGGGCTGGAGCCACAGATGCTGTCCCATGTCTGAAATGGGTGGACTGCTTTACCATTAGGATGTTTACTTTTAGTGTTCTCAAAAAAAAAAAAAAAAATCCCAAGGCCATCCTAGATTGTTGTAATGTTCAACTTGTAAAACCTCTATTATACTTATTGCTTCTATGAGTTTGGCTGCTTTAAGTACATCATATGCATGGAATCATCCTATATAATAAAAGGCCAGTGACCATAAACATAACGACCAGAATGACTGCTCGACCAGTTGCCATGAGGTTCATTGACCACCTCTCGGTCCCTCCCCCTGCCTCCCCTCCTTCCCTCCCCCGGCCCACAGGCTCTGATTGCAGCATGGTGAACGGGGAACCATGGTGAACCAAGGTGAATGGTGGTAGGGCGGGACTGGCAAGCAGGCAGAACGGAACCAGACCCGCAGGCTCCAAGGAACCAGAACCATGCTGTGATCAGGGAACCACAGCAAACCGGGGCGTGGCAGCAGGGTGGGACTGGGGACTGGCGAGCTGGCAGAAGATGGCCCTGATTGCAGGCTAGGCCTAGGGACCCTACCCGTGCATGATTTCATGTGCTGGGCCTCTAGCATAGTACATAACTTTCTGTGTCTGACTTCCTTCACTTCGGAACATGAAATATTGTGATGTTTTCTATCCATGTTGTAGCACACGTCAGAATTTTCTTACTTTTTAAGGCTGAATAATATTCCATTGTATGTATATACCACATTTTGTTTATCCATTCATCCCCGGATGGATATGTGGACTGTTTCCACCTTTGGGCAATTGGGAATATGCTGCCATGAACATGAGTGTACAAGTGTCCATTTGAGTCCATGCTTTTAATTCTTTATTCTTTTCTTTTGGGTATTTAATATGTTCTTAATGAACTAAACTAGAAGGATCTGTCTGCTCTTGAAAACTTTAAGTTCCCTTATATAGAGAGCTAATAATATTCCTGCAAATGCCCAGCCTTCAAAGACCTCCTAGAAGACAGGTCTCTGAGTAGAATATTTGACTAATCAGTGAATCCCACATCTGGCTTTACATCAGAATCACATGCATAGCATCTAAACATTGTGGGTGCCTAGAAATCTGTATTATACCACATAAACCAAGTGATTAAACTTAATAGCACCGATGATGAACACAAACTGACTTCATGTGTCTCCTAATATGATGTACATTATGTAGCATCCTTGTCAAAATTGGGTTGAAATTTTAAAAATAAACAGAGAAAGAAAGACAGTAACCTGAACACCACCAAGACCTTCAGAACCTGCAGCTCATCGGGCAGTGACTTGTGTTTTCGGTGAGACCCCATGAGATCCTGAGGTGGCTAGTAGAGCACCAATCTGCAAACCAATATGGACGAACTACTAAACTAGATCCCTCTCTAGGTGCCTTCCCACTGGAAATTCTGTGATTTTCTTGAGAGCAGGATTTCTAAGCAGTGGGGAAGAGATGGAACATTCGATGTTCAATAAGCTCACAATAAGAACAAAAAGGAAACTGAATGCCTACTTTACGCTGAAATAAGTAGCAGATGAATAAAATATTTAAATATAGAATGAAAACATCAAAGCACCTAAAAATAAAATAATTGCTTAATTCAACCTCAGAACAAAGGAGATCTTTCTAAGGAAGAAACAAAACCTAGAAACAAACTATTAAAACATTTATCTATGTAAAAGTAAAAAAGGATTTCTTCATGGCCAAAAATAATTCAAAGAAAGACAAAGACAAACTGCAAATGGGAACCAATGTTAACAAGACAGATGGCTAAAGCTAATTTACTCAATATATAAATAAATTTGCAAATAAAAAAAGCAGTTCCCCAAAACCCAACAGAAAAATGGGCAAAGGGTGTAAAAGGACACCCAAAAAGACATACAAATGCCTCTTAGCCATACTGAAAAGTTTGTTTGTTGTTAACCCATAATAAGACTAGTGGACACTAAAAGTAAACAAATATTATTTTTCACTTTCTTTGGCAATATTCCAAAGTTTAACACCACACTATTTTGCAAAGGCCGTGGATAAACAGGCGATTTCAGGCATTGCTGGTGGGGCTGCAAATGGTGCAACATTTTCAGAGGCCATTTTGGCAACATCAATCCAAACTAACTGCGCATACCTTTCTGCCCAGAAATTTCACTTTTAGGAATCTAATCAACAGACATAGTCATACATGTGTTCAAAGATGTAGACATAAGATATTAACTGTAGCATTATTTGAAATAAAAGTCTGGAACAACATAAGAGACCATTAATAGAATATTAAATAAATATTGGAACATTTACATAATGGCCATCTATATATTGTACAGCTTTTAAAATTAGATGGATATATGCTAACATGGATTTTCTGTAATGGGGAAGAAAGCAAGATGGAGAGTAGTTTGTATAGTGTTGACCTTTTATGTTCAAAAAGACTGTATGTGTTTATATACATTTGGTGCTTGTATATCAGCAAAATGTAATGGAAAATACATAATAAATGATTAATAGTCATTATCTCTACCTGGGGTTTTGGGGTAGGATACTCTTTCACAATCCTTCAAATAAGCAAAAATTCTAAAAAGTGATACTCAGCATGGATGAGGGCATAAGAATAAAGATATTCTCTGAGACTGTTGTTGATGTGTAAATTGGTCCAGCCTTTTCAGATGCCAATTTGACAATGCCTACACAATTTTTAAAATATATATATTCTTATTGATTTCAGAGAGGAAGGAAGAGGGAGAGAGAGATAGAAACATCAATGATGAGAGAGAATCATTGATCAGTTGCCAATCTCTTAATGGTTTACAAAATCTCTTCCCCTCCCTTGCTTTTCTTTTTCTATAGTCAACTTTCCTAACTTTACAGGGATCATTTAGGAAATAATGGCACTCATGGTAAAGAATCATTTACCCAAGTTCATCAATCCTTCAGGTTACACGAGGCCATGGCACTTGCCTGTGTCTCCGAGCCCTGCAGAGCGCTAAGAGATGCCCTTCACAGGGTGGTCACGTGGATGGGACCCTAGGGTTGGGCCGTGCTCACCTGCACAACTGTACCTGGCAGCCCAAGTTTACTATAGTTTTCTTTTTTTAATATTCAAATATAAAGTTAATACTTTTCCATTAAACATAGCATATATAAAACGATCCCCTTGAGCACAGTATTTTTCTTTAGAGCTGCAGTACAATGTGGTATTTAGAATGCAGATTCAAGAATCCTGCTGCCTGGGTTCTACCACTGACTAGCTGTGTGATTTTGGAAAAACGACTTAGCCTCTCTGTGTCCCAGGTTCTTCATTCATAAAACATCATGATTATAGCCCAACCGGTAGTTGTGAGGATTTAATGAAGTAACGCATGTAAATTGTTTAGCTGTGAAACGAGGACGATGAGCGGGCAGGCAAACACGCTCAAGCTGACTGTAAGAAGAGACACAAGATGAAGGACTCTGGTCTCTGGCGCTGCTTGTGATCCCAAAGGGGTGGCTCCTTTGATTCTAGTTCAGTATGGAATTCTGCCCACCTCAGGAATTTGACTTTGTTCCTATTTCCCATGGTTTAGGGATATGAACATTTTGGCATGAATCTTTTAAATGTCCAGCAAACACAACCAGTAGAACATACCTGTGCATGTTTTGCTTTAAAGAGAAGCCTTATATTTTAAAGATTGTGCATAGAAGCAATTATAGTCCCTTAGTTCAGTATGCTCATTAAGTAAATTCTAATTTTTAACATTGTGGATTGCTCTAAAGAGTTTTAGTGCTGGTGGTTGATTTGCAAATTCGATAACCACCTGGATATCTGGTGAGTTGTGACTTCCCCTCTGTGGGCTGCATAGGACCCTGGCGTGGCTTCTCCACTGTATTAAGCTCATTTGTCACCAAGAAAAAGAGATGGGACTATAAACAGCAGATTGTAGAGACAGCCTTACCCCATACTGTAAAGCACTTTCTCTGTACATCATCGTTTACACCAGGGAACACACATTTATTCTGTTTAGAGGAGAACGGAGGTTCATTACGGAAGATACTTTGACAGAGTATCATCAAAACCCAATACCTTCCTGCCTAAAATTCAAACAAGCCTCACAAAATCGAACACTTTGTGAGTCTTCACATCCCTCAGTGGTGTGGGCCCTCACGGAAACCCACACAAGCATTTATGCAGAACTTAACACAGCTGGCAACCTCTGCTGCCTAAACCCTCAGATTCACCAGAGCTTTCCAGATGTTCCCCTCTAGCATCTTCCTTTGGTCATCATGGGCCTGCCTGTCTGCTTCCCAATCATGGCCCAAAGGGGCTCAGCACACGCACATTCATGAGGAGTATCTTAATATATTTTTCAGGAGAAAACCAAAACCTACACATAATCTGTAAGGATGAGCTCTGCTTCCTTCTTCTATGATTTCCTAGAGATTCACTTTCTGTATCTACACTTGTGTACCTCTCTCACCAGTTTGTTCAAGATCCCAGGGTATAGCAAGGGACCGCAGCACTTCATATTCCAACACTCTTCCACCTTCTTGCTGAGACTTAACATTTAAAAATAGATTTTATTTGTGTGTTGCTGTTTTTTAAAATAGCTATAATATTCACATAGCTTAAAATTTAAGTCACAACAGCCTAAACAGTGAAAACTTTCCCTTCTTCCCCTGACTCCCACCCACCCAGTTTCCATCCTCAGAGGCAACTGATATTGTCACTTGCTTGCCTGTTCTTCCAGAGGTACTATAAATATAGGCTCTCCCTGGCTTTTCAACTAGCATAAGTACCCTCTACACAAAATCCTACTTCTTGTTTTTACACTTGACAATGTGTATGCACTTGATGAAGGAATGGCCTATCTGGGAAAGGTGTCTCTCTCTTGACAGCTTTAGGAGGTGCCCGATGGACTAGGAGGGAAGACAGTCTATCTGCCAACCACAGAGGTAAGTGTAGTCAACTCTTGTAGTCAAGCGCAGGCAGACACATCTCATAGCCAGAGCACCCTTACCTTCTCTTCAGAATTGAGGGCAACAAGGTGACTTCTCCATGTCTAGATACCTAGAAGGCCTCAACTGATATTTGCCAATCAATCAATAATGAAAAACTGTTGAACCTACAGAATTAAGAATAAACATGCTGCAGAACTGGTAGAAGGGCTTTTAAATCTGTTAAAACGTGTTTGTGGCAAAATAAGTTTATTAGCATTTCTTTCTTAAGCCAAGAGTAACCCTCATAACTCCGCCTCCCCCCCCCCCCCCACACACACACATGCATGCACTAGCCTTGAGGCAAAGGCCCAGGGTCTGGCAGGACTGGGGGAAGTTGTCACCAAGAGCTGCAGGGAGCAGGTGTGACCTGAGGTGGAAAGCAAACCGGAGCCCGAGGAGGCGGCAGGGCAGGTCTCAGAGAAACATCGAGCACCAGGACTGAAGAGCAAGGGAGATGCCAGAGACTGCAGCTGAGGCAAATGCTAAGATGCCAAAAGATCAAGAACGAGGGGGAGAGCAGCAGACAGGGCAAGATGAAGTGCTGGGGAGACAGGACGGGAACCAAGGAAGGGTGCCAAGGTGTTTGATCCCATCAGCTGCCTCGCTGGGGAAGAGTTTGGCTGGGCACCTAAGAGGGCCTGCAAGTGATAGGTTATATATTCCTTTAATTTCTGTGTCCTGGCAAATCACACATTTTTTTTTTTTAAAAAAAATGTGTTTATTAATTTTTAAGAGAGAGAGGAAGGGAGAGGGAGAGAAAAACATCCATCGGCCGCCTCTTGCACACCCCAGCTGTGGAGGACAATGCTTAACCAACTGAGCCACACCAGCCAAGGGCCAAACCATACCTTGTTAAAGGTATAGCTGTATACTTCGTATGTTGTTCAAAGCCATCCTAGGACTCCTACCTGAAATTGATCTAAATAGTCATCTAAAAAACCAGTCTCATTATTTTAAAGTATACGCTGTAGGATCAAGAAGTCAGTGAGATCATTTCCCTTCATTAAAGAGGAATAAGACAAATGAAAAAAAAATACTTTGAAATAAGTTACAGGTCATGTCAGCATATAGCCATGAATTATTGAGCTGAATAGTGATTACCATTTTCTTGGATTACTTAAAAAGAAGTTCTCAGGCTACTTTGATTGGGCTATCAGACTCAGACTGAAATACCAGGCAGCCCATACGTAAGCCTGGGTTTCTGTCACCAGACCCACGGAGTGCTGCCTGTGGCTCTCTTCAGCATGTCTCAGGGACGGCATGCATTTCAGGGCTACTGCTACAGGGGGACCCCATCCACTCTGAGTCCAGACAAGTAGAAGACTCAGATAACCAGATAGCTTCTAAGCAAGTACTTTGATAAGAAGGTAGCAGAAGCCCAGAATCAGATAGTAGGGACATACTCACAAGACAGTGTAGGGGCATACGTTGGGCCCAGTGGCTTACATTTTCTAAACTATAGAATTGCACAGTGATAATGACAGTGACGAGGTCCTCAAAGATCCCAAAGCTCTTCAAAATTGCCAAACAAAAGGTAAACTAATTTTACTAGCTTCTGTGTTAATGCATTTTGTCAAGTTCTCATTCTTTGAAAGTTGGGAACCTGTGTATGACTGCAATAAATACCTCAGTAAGAGTAATCAGAACATGCCTGGTCCCGTATCCTGCCAAGTAAAGAGTCTACCAAATCTAGAACTGCATCCTAAGTCCCTACTGCCAAAGATAGAGCTCTTCTCTTCCACTGTAGACTACGATGAAGCTCATACCTACACCACACTGAAAATAAGTCTCTTGTATTAATAGTTTGTAAATTCAGCAGTGCCCTGCTCTGCAACAAATGGTTGTGACTTGAGGCCAAGCACAGGAGTAAACCATCCCCTTGTAAAGTCTGGTTCCAGAGCGGACAAAGGTTAAAGCTTATTATAGACCAGCTGAGGTTTCACACACTACGTCAAAAGTCCTTATATTTAGAAACCTTACTCACTTCGCCTTGTGCATTGTCAGCCTCTCAGTCACTGCTGGCTAGTCTCCCCACAGTGGCTCTGTGTGCCTCCCACGTGCCACAAACCACGGACCTTTGGCTCTGTTTGCTGACCCTCACTCACCACGTCCTGTTCCTGCCTGAACCCAAGCGATCCATTCCCATGATGGCCACCATACATGACCACACCCCTCCCTCTGGTCCCTTACGTGTCTACTCTCAGGCATCACTGAAAATAGCTATAGCTATTCATTTTTATGTAATTCTCCTAGAATTTATTCATGTTCTGCTATCTTGCAACTTTGAAGGTGAATCTGCATTTCAGATATTTTTTTAAAGTACTTATTTTTCACCTGGCTGGTGTGGCTCAGTGGTTGAATGTCAACCCATGAACCAAGAGGTTGCTGGTCCCTGGTCAGGGTACATGCCCAGGTTGTAGTCTTGATCCCGTGTAGGGAGCATGCAGGAGACAACTGTTCAATGATATCTCTCTATCCTTTTCCCTTCCTCTCTCCCTAAAAAAAATAAAATAAAATAAAAAATACTTATTTTTTTCTGCATTCTTTCATATCTACCCCACTACCTACTGGTTTAGATTTCCTGCAGCAGAAAAATTAAGCATTTGGCAGATTAAGTAAAGAAGAGTGTTTGTGGGAATATGACAGAGGACAAAGACCCTATGGGCCTCCCCGTTACCACCACCATCATCATCATCATCATACAACACTTTTAGTGCCAGGGTCTATGCCAGGCTCTTCGTGGGCATCACCTTACTTATAGTAGTTCCAGGAGGAAACAGCTCTTAGAGTCAAATTGCACATATGAGGAAGCGGAGGTTTTGAGAGATTTACTTGTCCAAGAACACACATCTGGAAGCATCAGAATCAAAACAATCCCACTCCAGAACCCAGGCTCTTAACTACTAGCAACACTGCCTCCCATTGTGGCTGGCAAAACTCTTACAAAGAGCACTTCAAAGCCCTTACAAGGGCAACCAAATATTCCAACAGGAAGTGCAAAAACACCTTCCTAATCCAGCTGTGAGTGCAGCAAATAATTGAATGGTTGTATTTAAATCAAAATTTTGCAAATCAAATCCTATTCTAAATTCACCGGGGAAGCTTACTTCATTCCTTCATAAAGAAAAGAAAAAATATGATTGCAACACAATTAGTTAGAATAGATCTATTTGGTAAAGTTAGATATTTATATACATGACTACCTTAGAATTGGGTTCAAATACTGGGCTCAGACCCTCCCCACCCCTTAGCCAAAATTTACTCCCTGCTGACAATGAGGGTAACTTGTGATCCAGACAGAAGAAGGAGAAAGTCCCCAACCCCACCCCCATCCACCATGACAGACATTGCTGGCCTGAGGGTAGGGTAGCAGGAATCAGTGCTCCTTTGGGGGAAGGAGGAGGAGAGGCCTGAAATATGCATGAAGCAGACTTGCACCAGTGGCTAATTAACTCCTCAGTTACCCTTCTACTTATTGTTCAACTCCAGCAACAAAATGAAGGTAATAGTACATTGAGTCAGATACCCTTCATTTGAAATCCTCTGAGGAAAATAACAGTCAATAAATATCATTGTATTATATGGCTGTGCAGCTCCTCCTGCAGAGTAAATCAGATGCATGTGGCTAGAACAGCCGTGGGCAAACTACGGCCCGCGGGCCAGATCCGGCCCATTTGAAATGAATAAAACTAAAAAAAAAAAAAGACCGTACCCTTTTATGTAATGATGTTTACTTTGAATTTATATTAGTTCACACAAACACTCCATCCATGCTTTTGTTCCGGCCCTCCGGTCCAGTTTAAGAACCCATTGTGGCCCTTGAGTCAAAAAGTTTGCCCACCCCTGGGCTAGAACCTGACCATGACTCAATCAGCATTCTGCTGGGTCTTGAAGGAAGAGCCTTCAGTCTCAGATTGCCCTCACCTGTGGGCACTGGCAGGGATTTCCTTGCTGCAGAAAGCCACTTAGCCCAAGGTCATGTCCTTCTCAGAGGACCCCAATGATTGATGGAGGAAGCA